CAGCCAAAATGGTTCAGCCATTTCCGAGAACAACACTAGGGAAAAATAAGTCCTTTTGCAATGTTTAAAAAAAAATATTTGGTGATCTTTTGATATGCTCTAGTGCTTTGGAGCTGGTGACATTCAGCAGGGAGATGGCACTTTGCTGAAACAAAGGTATTTTGTCTTCCGTATGAAAACCCACACAAACATGGCTGAGTTATACGCCTTTGGAAAAAAATCACAGTTCACACAGGCTGAGCATGCTCCATCCTCTCACAACTTCTACCTGTGACCAGATTGCGCTTGTGCCATCCCCACCAAGTGACTGCGCATGCGTCAATCCAGGGCTACAGGGGAAAAGCTGGACTTTACCTGTAATTACTGCTCCAGACTGGGGCGGAACAGGTCACTGGAACTGAGAGCAGGGAGCCTGTCTCTCCTGTGTTCTCAGAGACACCACCGCCACCCCCTCTCGCTGGCACCCAGGCAGTGTGGAGGAGGAAGCTGCCTGATCCAGATACAGAAGGAACAAAAGCTGGACCCTGGAGGTGGGAAAGGAGTTGACTGGGGCAAGGAGTCTGGTGAGACTGGGAGGGGAACAGATTGTGACAGGAAGTTAGGGAGAGACTAGAACTGTCTGGGCAAGAAGCTAGACTGAGAGGAAGGAAGGGGGGGCTAGGACTGGTTGCACAGGGAGGCTGGTTGGGCAAGAAGACGTGGAGCTGGGGTGGGGAGGATAGGCTGGAACAGCATGGGGAGGAGGTGACTAGCCCTCTGTGAAGAAAGAAGTGGTTCGGGACTATTTAGAAACACTGGACGAGCACAAGTCCATGGGGCCGGATGCGTTGCATCCGAGAGTGCTAAAGGAGTTGGCGGCTGTGATTGCAGAGCCATTGCCCATTATCTTTGAAAACTCATGGCGATTGGGTGAGGACCCGGACGACTGGAAAAAGACTAATGTAGTGCCCATCTTTAAAAAAGGGAAGAAGGAGGATCCTGGGAACTACAGGCCAGTCAGCCTCACCTCAGTCCCTGGAAAAATCATGGAGCAGGTCCTCAAGGAATCAATTCTGAAGCACTTAGAGGAGAGGAAACTGATCAGGAACAGTCAGCATGGATTCACCAAGGGCAAGTCATGCCTGACTAATCTAATTGCCTTCTATGATGAGATAACTGGCTCTGTGGATGAGGGGAAAGCAGTGGACGTGTTGTTCCCTGACTTTAGAAAAGCTTTTGACATGGTCTCCCACAGTATTCTTGCCAGTAAGTTAAAGAAGTATGGGCTGGATGAACGGACTATAAGGTGGACAGAAAGCTGGCTAGATTGTCAGGCTCAACGGGTAGCGATCAATGGCTCCATGTCTAGTTAGCAGCTGGTATCAAGTGGAGTGCCCCAAGGGTCGGTCCTGGGGCTGGTTTTGTTCAATATCTTCATTAATGATCTGGAGGATCGTGTGGATTGCACCTTCAGCAAGTTTTCAGATGACTCTAAACTGGGAGGAGAGGGAGATACGTTGGAAGGTAGGGATAGAATACAGAGGGACCTAGACAAATTAGAGGACTGGGCCAAAAGAAATCTGATGAGGTTCAACAAGGACAAGTGCAGAGTCCTGCACTTAGGACGGAAGAATCCCATGCACCAACAGACTAGGGACTGAATGGCTTGGCAGCAGTTCTGCAGAAAAAGACCTAGGGGTTACAGTGGATGAGAAGCTGGATATGAGTCAACAGTGTGCCCTTGTTGCCAAGAAGGCTAACAGTATTTTGGGCTGTATAAGTAGGGGCATTGCCAGCAGATGGAGGGACGTGATCATTCCCCTCTATTCGACATTGGTGCGGCCTCATCTGGAGTACTGTGTCCAGTTTTGGGCCCCACACTACAAGAAGGATGTGGAAAAACTGGAAAGAGTCCAGCGGAGGGCAACAAAAATGATTAGGGGACTGGAACACATGATTTATGAGGAGAGGCTGAGGGAACCGGGATTGTTTAGTCTGCGGAAGAGAAGAATGAGGGGGGATTTGATAGCTGCTTTCAACTACCTGAAAGGGGGTTCCAAAGAGGATGCTCTAGACTGTTCTCAGTGGTAGCAAATGACAGAACAAGGAGTAATGCTCTCAAGTTGCAGTGGGGGAGGTTTAGGTTGGATATTAGGAAAAACTTTTTCACTAGGAGGGTGGTGAAACACTGGAATGCATTACCTAGGGAGGTGGTAGAATCTCCTTCCTTAGAAGTTTTTAAGGTCAGGCTTGACAAAGCCCTGGCTTGGATGATTTAGTTGGGGATTGGTCCTGCTTTGAGCAGGGGATTGGACTAGATGACCTCCTGAGGTCCCTTCCAGCCCTGATATTCTATGATTCTATAAACTGGATGCACAAGGAGACTGTAACTGTCCCTCACCCTTACACAAAGTAAGCAGTCATGGGATAAGAGGAAAGGTCATCTCATGCATCAGTAACTGGTTAAAACATAGGAAACAATGGGTAGGAATAAACGGTCAGTTTTCACAATAGAGAGAGGTAAATAGCGGGGTTCCTCAGGAGTCTGTACTAGGACCAGTGCTGTTCAACATATTCAGAAATTATCTGGGAAAAGGGGTAAACAGTGGCATGGCAAAATTTGCAGACGATATAAAATTACTCAGGATACTTAAGTCCAAAGCAGACTATGAAGTTACAAAGGGATCTCACAAAACTGGATGACTGGGCAACAAATGGCAGATTAAATTCAATGTTGATAAAAGCAAAGTAATGCACATTAGAAAATATAATCCCAATTACACATACAAAATAAAGGGGTCTAAATTAGCTGTTACCACTCAAGAAAGAGATCTTGGAGTCGCTGAGGACAGTTCTCTGAAAACACCTGCTCAATGTGTAGCAGCAGTCAAAAAAGCAAACAGAATATTAGGAATCATTAGGAAAGGGATAGATAATAAGGCAGAAACTATCATAATGCCTCTACACAAATCCATGGTACACTTACATTTTGAATAGTGTGCAGCTCTGGTTGCCCCACCTCAAAAAAGATATATTAGAATTGGAAAAGGCACAGAGGAGGGCAACAAAAATGATTAGGGGTATGGAACAGCTTCCATATGAGGAGCGATTAAAAAGAGTGGGACTTTTCAGCTTGGAAAAAAGACTAGGAGGGGATATGATAGAGGTCTATAAAATCATGACTGAATAAGGAAGTGTTATTTACTCCTTCACATAACATAAGAACCAGGAGTCATCCAATGAAATTAACTGGCAGCAGGTTTAAAACAAACAAAAGGAAGTACTTCTTCACACAACATACAGTCAACCTGTGGAATTTGTTGCCAGAGGATGTTGTGAAGGCCAAAACAACAACAGGATTCAAAAAGAACTAGATAAGTTCATGAAGGATACGTCCATCAATGGCTATTACCCAGGATGGTCAGAGATGCAACCCCATGCTCTGAGTGTTCCTACCCTCTGCCAGAAGTTGGGAGTGGATGACAGGGGATGGATCACTCGATTGCCCAATCTGTTCATGCCTTCTGAAGCACCTGGCACTGGCTACTGCTGGAAGACAGGATACTGGGCTGGATGGACCATTGGTCTGACCCAGTATGGCCATTCTCATGTTCTTATTCCCCTCCAGTGCACAACCTGCTATCAGTTACTCCATTAGCTCAAGTGGCAGAAGTCTGTGTGGTGGATCTAAAGGTTCCAACCACACTGATGACACATATGGGTGTCAATGTGTCTTATACCATATGACCATGTAATTACAAAACTGTATCATACATACAAGCAAGGACGCTGATTGAAGGCTGCACAAGCACTCTTTCATACAGTCCAAGGCCAGAAGGGACCATTGTGATTACCTAGTCTGACTTTCCGTACAACACAGAGCAGATACCTGCCTCAAAATAATTCCTATAGCCGATCTTTCAGAAAAATAGCCAATCTTGATTTTAAAATGGTCAGCGATGGAGAATCCACCACAATCCTTGATAAATTGTTCCAGTGGTTAATTACCGTCCCTCACTGTTAAACATTTACGCCTTATTTCCAGTTTGAATACTGGCATTGCCTAACTTTGAGTCATGCCTGAACTTCCAACCTTAATAATGTTCTTGTCACAGGTTTCTGGGTGTACGTGCACGTCACGCCGCTGACCAGGCGAAGCTGCACCTGCGATGTGCAAGCGGCGACCGTGCCAGCCGGGATCCGAAGGCGCTGACGAGTCCCGAGCCGGCCGTCAACCCCTCGGAGGCAGGACGGGGCCTCTCGCCAGGGCCGGGGGCTGGCGGGCAGTTGGCCGGAGGGGAACGCCAGGCCCAGCCGCTCCGCTCCCAGCTCAGGCCGCGCGGCGGGCCGGGAGGAGGGCGGCCGCCGCAGCCCAGCGCGGAAACCCCGGGGCAGGGGGAGCCCCACAGGACCGGCCACCTCGCGGCGGGGCGGCCGGCCCGGCCGCCGGGACCCCGGGCAGCTACAGCCAGGGCCGGCGGGGAGCTCCGCCGACAGCCCCCGGCGGGCTCCCCTCACGCCCGACCTCGCCCCCCGACTCACCGCGCTCCGCTGTCACCGCAGGGACTTCCGGGCTCCCCGCCCCGCGGCTGCGGGGTCACATGACCTGACCGCGCCGCCACGGAGGCGAGGCCAGAGCGCCCCACTCTCCAGGCGTGGGAGTGGTGGGGGCGGAGCGGGCGGCGCCCGCACAGCGAGCCGCCTCGCGATCCGGAGTCCCAGGGACCTGCAGCTAGACGGGGATTCGTTACCGTGCGAGCTAGGCTGGGGGCTTTGCCCACCCCAACATGGCGGCTAGCTCGCCTCTGGGGGCCTTGCCCACACACAACATGGCGGCCGAATCCCCCGCCCTCCTGGGGGCTCTTGCCCACGCCTAACATGGCGGCTAGCTCGCCTCTGGGGGCCTTGCCCACACACAACATGGCGGCCGAATCCCCCGCCCTCCTGGGGGCTCTTGCCCACGCCTAACATGGCGGCCGGGTGTGGCTTGCATGGGTCTCGCGAGATCTCGGCTAGTATATGTTGCGCGGCCGACGGCATCTCCGGCCTCTCATGCGCGCTGCTCTAGGCCGGGAGGTGGCAGGAGCTGTCTGAGTCTCGCGTCCCGGATCCGGCTCCATCCGCCTCGGGCCCGCCGCCGCCATGCCGCCCAAGTTCGACCCCAACGAGATCAAAGTCGGTACGTTGGTGCGGGGCGGCCCGTGAGGTGCCGGGCCTGGGGCCGCGGCGGCCGGGGAGCCCTGTGCCCGGGCGGGGAGCGTCCCCCTGCGCGGGGCGGCCTGGCGCGCTCTGCCTGCGGGTGCCCGGCCTGGGCGCCGAGAGCCCCCGGCCAGCCGCTCTGCTCCCGCGCGGGGAGGCGCGGCCGCCGGGGTCCCCTGCGCGGCTCAGGCCGCTCCCGCCGGGCCCAGGGGCCTGGCAAGGCCCGCGTGCTGCGCGAGCGCCCTGACGCCTCTCTCGCTTTCTCCGCAGTGTTCCTGAGGTGCACCGGCGGGGAGGTCGGCGCCACTTCCGCTCTGGCGCCTAAAATCGGCCCGTTGGGTTTGGTGAGTGGCGCTGGGAGGGGGTTGCTCTGTGTCGCTCGCGGTATGACCAGGTGCTTGGCAGATGCTGCTGAAACTGTCTGTAACTGATGCCTGGATGGCTACGCTACTAAAGGGGTATGATTAGGGTGAAGGTACTTTAGTCTAATCGAGAGATTTTTGTCCTAACGTGGACCTCTAAAACCCCCCTACAGGATAGCCATGAGCTGAAATCTAACCGTGTATCCTGAGCTCCAACTGTGTGAGTCCTGAGCTAGACTGAGTCAATTGCCTCTTTAAGTACAGGAATCCAGTGTACCCGCTTCCCGTTTAGATAGGAGCCCTCTTTACAGAGACTGCTAAGGCTGTAAACTGGTCAGTTGCTCAACATAAAAGGAGTTAGCTCTTCTAAAATGCTGTAGGTTTTGCCATGGATGTGAGTTTGCTCCTTGTGACTGGGCAGAGAGCAAACTTGCAAGAAATTGAACTTAGCCTTGTTTTTGTATAACTAGGCTATTGTATCTCTTTGGGTGTGGTGTGTGAACATGTTAGTGCACCTCCCTGGGTGTGAGGGGGGCCCTGGTTTTGAGATGGGCTTTTTGAAAAGGGGGGGGGGGAATTTAGCAAAATAGAAGGGCCACTGAAGGGAGTGAGAAGTGTGATTGGGCATGGGAAATGACTGAGAGTGGGAGTGGACTGGCGCAAATAGCCAGTTAAGGCAGAGGAAAAACTGCAGAAAGCTGTTTAATGTGTGTCTAGCAGTCCTCGCTGCCACTTACTCTGGGTTTGTGGCTCGCTCTGCTGAGGCATTGCTCTCTCCATGAGATTTCAGAGATCCACAGAGGGGTTTGTATTTGCTCACATCAGTGAATTTAGCTGTTTGGGAAGAGGGGAATCTTTCAAATACAGCAATAAAAATAACTGCCGGTACAGGGCATGAAGTGTACAGCATAATACGGGAGTTCAAACTAATGAGTGTTGGAAAATCTCTCTGAAGAGAAAATAATCAATTAAATGCTTGTTCTTGCCTTCAGTCTCCCAAAAAGGTTGGTGATGACATCGCCAAGGCAACAGGTGACTGGAAGGGGCTGAGGATCACCGTGAAACTCACTATCCAGAACAGGCAAGCTCAGGTACTAAACGCCAGAAGGGATGGCTTGGTGGGAGAAGCGCCAGGTTTGAAACACCTGCGTTTGCTTGAACCACAAGTGTCAATCCCGGCAGGGTTGACTCAGCCCTTCATCCTTCCGAGGTAGATAAAATGAGTTCCATGCAGTTTACTGTGTGGGGGTCTCCTGGACGAGACCTTAAAAACAAAGTCCTTCCTAATCTCTGAAGAGCTGGGGTGTATCCAATGTCAGAACTGTCTCTGGTCCACCATCCAGAGGCAGCTGCATTTCAGTGTATAATTCAGGGCTGTCCAGGCTAAAGATGCTGTGTGTGCCACTGTGCTCAGAAATAGTGGAGTGTGTCTGAATCAAGAGCAGGCATCAAACTGACTGTCAGAGTTAATGACAACAGAATGGAGAGGAACAAATGAGTTCATCAGTCTGCCAGGGTTGGTATTGTATTGGTCTTGGAACCATGGCAACACTCTGAGAGACTACTATGGGGGAACCGTTGGCTGATACTGGAGATGGGGTGGAGAGCAAGTTTTTAGACCAGGGAAACACTGTGCCAAACTGGAATATTCCAACTACTCTTCAGTATACTTGTAGCCACCCGCCACCATACCTGTCTTGTACTGAAGTGACTGGTGTACTCCAGTGGTGTGCTGAGAGGAATCCCCAGCTTAGGAAGCAGGGCTATTCTGTGTGTGGAGAGCTCTGTGCCGAAAGGCTGGGAACATTGAATCACACGTCTTCCCATAGAGAAGAATAGTAACAAGCATGTCGAGTACACACAGGTGGGAGGGTGATCCCAATTATTTTCTAGTAAATACAATGCATTTAGGTTTATTATAGTTCTGTGTGCGTGTGAGTTGGAGGCTGTTAGCTCTTTCAAGACTGATATTTGTCAAGCATTCTGGATTTGCTCTCTGACCTCAGTATCTCCTAAAGAAAACATGTTCCCCTCCCCCAATCAGATCGAGGTTGTCCCTTCTGCCTCTGCCCTGATCATCAAAGCCCTCAAGGAGCCTCCTCGTGACAGGAAGAAGCAGAAGAACAGTAAGCTTTCTTTTTTGCTAACTTCCATTGGTCACTGGTGCTAAGTGGTGCAGCCAGCCAGCCCAGATCTAGCTGGCTGTCACTTAACTTGCTTGCCTCCAGTTTACTCCTCTGCAAAATGGGAATATTTGCCAACCTTGTAGGGGATTGTGGGGCTTCATTAATGTTGTGAAGCACTTCACGATTTCAACCTGCAAGGCACAGAAGTACAATCCAAGATCTATCTGAAGGGGAAATTACTCCCTAGGATGCAGGGTATTGAAATGATTTGCCTGTGGATCATTGTACTTTTATGACCAGCTCCATGGTTCTCAAACTTTTGTATTGGTGACTGCTTTCACACAGCAAGCCTCTTGAGTGTGAACCCCCTTTACAAATTAAAAACACATTTTTTATATTTAATGCTATCATAAATGCTGGAGGCAAAGTGGGGTTTGGAGCTGACAGCTTGTGACCTCCACATAATAACCTCATGACCCCATGAGGTGTCAGGACACCCAGTTTGAGAACCCCTGGAGTTTGTCTGGTCTAAAAACTTCAGAAAAACAGCCACCTGCCACTGTACCTGTCTAGTATGAAGTGCCTGGTACAATCCAGTGGTGAGCTGATAGAAAACACCAGCTTAGGAAACAGAGTTATTCTCTTTGTGGGTAACTCTGTGCCAAAGTCTGGGAACACCAGATGATAAACCAAGGAATGAGTGTGCTGCTATACTGTCCCCCTACCCTCTTCACTCCCAGGGTTGAGATGTTGAACTGATTTGTTTGTTGCTCTTCAGAGGACTCACTGGTGTTTTGATTTTGTTCACAGTTAAACACAGTGGCAGTGTCAGCTTTGATGAGATAGTAAACATTGCACGCCAGATGAGGCACAGGTCCTTGGCCCGGGAGCTCTCTGGTAAGAGCAGTATGCTGCTAGGGGGTTACTAATGCGGTGGCTGCCATAGGCTGGTCCTGAGTGCCTGAACCAGCTCTGCCTTCTGAACTGCAGAGCCCCTCATCCTGCTTGTCTACCCACTAGCTGGCCTACTCTGCAGCTCTGGGCTCCATGCCAGTTTTCACTTATATTTCCTGGTGTGAATGGGTAGATCCATGAGCATGGACAGTCAAGCTGGCAGAGGCAGAACATGGCAGGACTTTTTTTTTCCCCCATACTCCTGACCCTGCCACAGTGCAGTCTGTTTCCAAAGGGGACTAGCCAGTCCCCTGCTGACAGATACCTGGGCATTAGCTAGCTTCCTAAACTACAATATAAGTAGCTTCCATATCTGATTCAGTTTATCAAGATACCTTAGTCTTAGAAATAGGTCAGACCTGCTTAGTAACAGGCCTGTCTTACTGAGATACATTCAGCCAAGTCAGCTCTGAAAGGGGATACGAAGGGAACTTATGAATGTTCTTCTGGAAGGTCCCATGTACCTTCCTGTCCTGAAACATCAGTGGCCTTTCTAGATTGACATACCCAGGAGACAGTGTGCTGCACTGATGCAGGAGACCCAGGTTCCAGGATATGCTCATTATGCCCTCAGCAGTGAATCCTGCTAATGTACCTTGCAGACCTCTGGGGATGGAGGTTATAGCTTGTATAGATAGAAAAATGGCATAGGGCAGTGATTTTCAACCTATGATCCATGGATCCCTGGGGGTCCCCAGACTATGCCTAAGATTTCCAAAGGGGTCTGCACCTCCATTAGAAATTTTTTTAGGGGTCACTGGACCCCAGGAGAGGAGCCTCCCATATAACACACGCCAAGCCTCCTTGCACCCATTCATCAAACAGTTCAGTATTTAACAGACTTCCACCAGGAGGGAGACATGCACAGGAATTAACATGCTGTTGTACGTCACTGACCTGCTGCTACCAGAGTACCTAGCAGGGACACTTTTTTCCCCCAATGGAAAAATCTGAACTCTGAAAGCAAGTCAGGCTTTGTCTGTGTGTCACCACTGTGTTGGAGGTGGTCTAAGATGCAGTCTCTCTGTTACAGGAACTATTAAGGAGATTCTAGGAACTGCTCAGTCTGTTGGCTGCAATATTGATGGCAGGCATCCTCATGATGTCATTGATGACATCAACAGTGGCACAATAGAATGCCCAGCTGTAAGTCTCAAACTTCAGTTGAAATTGACTAGCATTGTCTAAGAACAAAATATCTCTTTACTAATGGGAGGCTTGTTTTGTTTTTTCAACAGAGCTAAGACAGAAACCAAGAACTCTCAACATGAAAGCTGATTAAGATTTTTTGTGACAATTGGGAAACCTCAATAAAACCTGCATTGAGTGAGAGTGGTCTGGTAATTTAAATACAGGATCCAGGTTGTCATCTGAAGGTGCAAAATGCTGGAATCTAAACACATGGTTGATTCCAGACAATCTGTATTCTGCCACATCAAGATTACAGGATTTTTTTCTGGTCACACACTGAACTAATATCTAGTACCTACACTAACAGGTTGTCCTTGAGACAACCCCTGCATTTTGGAATGGAGAAAACATGCCACAGAAATTTACAAAGGTTAAAAGTGGAGATTGCCTCTCAACTCCTATCCTCTTAAAACTTGCCATCATAAATAGATGTATTCCTTGTGAGCAGGTGGTTTATTCAGAATAGTAAATCTGTGCAAATCTTAATTTATGCTAGTGCTATGTGTACCTAACAGCTAGAAGGGCATAAATAACTGATACCTTTGCATGTGTAGGCTATGGAGAACTGCAGTCATGTCATAAAATGTAATACAGCCTGCAAGCAGATTGTTCAGGTGGCTAGCTTAAGCTAATGCATTTAAATTATGAAGCTTTCACCTGTGGTAGTGATGAAACAGGATACAGCATGATCTTGACATTACATGACTTCCATCTTAAATGGAAATTTACTCCTGAACACCCCGCTGTGTTAAATATACTTAGACAAATCTGTTTTAATAACAGGTAAAAAGTGAGTGCTCCCAAAGTCCTCTGCTTGAGCATCTGTGAAGGCAGGCACCCTGGTTCTTAGTGTGTAATAGGTACCTAGTCCAATTCAAAACTTCAATTTTCAAGGGTTTATTACTTGTAAATGTGTGTCTGGTCAACATTAGCATTCTCAATTTCTAACAGCAAAAGCTACCCATTATTACAGTACAGCTCCAAGCTTCATAGGTGTACTGGGCTTGTACTTCTCTCTCTGAATAAACAGGTTGTTTCAGATCAGAATCCATGTAGGGAGGTGACTTAGTAATAGAGTACACTGCATAATGAATCTTAGTCTGTGTTAACTTTGTGAGCCTCTTTAGATGAACACACTACATGGGCTGCTGTTAAGCAGATGGAAAATGAGCAAAGTTATTTGGTCTTTGCAGCTCCTGTTCAGAGAGTTGTGAAGGGCCCGGTTTCATGTCTCTTAGGTCTCCTGATGCCCTGGATGATGACACTTGGGCAGCTGGGCAAACGAGCTATGTGCCCCTTCTCAACATCATATGATCCTGGTCCTGGTGTGTTTCCTGAAAGGAAGAGAACCCAGCAGCTGGTACATCTTAAATTTGTGGACGATCTGCCCTTCTCTTGGTACTAAAAGGCTTCCTCTAAGAGTCTCTGCTCAGCATTTCATGTGCAGATAGACATTAGGACCCCACCACCCGTGGCTTTCCTAACTACATGTAAACAGGATCTTAGTGCTGTCCATGAATTAATTACTAGCATGTGAAATGCATCCTGTGAGCTTTAAGATTTCACCTACTGCTGTAAAAAACAACTCCATAGTTGCTTCTGCTCCCCTTGATGTGTCTGGCAGGGTGGTTTAGGTGTATACAGACCTAATGAAATTCAGATGCTGTAGCCTGCATGTTTTGATTTAAATGTTCCAGCTACAAAGATCTGGTGCAGGAGCCGAAGCGCTAGAATATGCGAACTACCACTTCAGTGGAAAAGTACTAACTCAAACTGAACGTCTGAAGGGCTAGATTTCCAGCGTGTTTAAAATTGCCATTCTACAATTAGGCTGGGTATCTGCAAATGACAATAGCCCCGTACATGAATGGCAGGAACAGCAGTGGTTGTAAAACTTCTGAAGCTGAGCATGCTCCCAGTGAGTTTTGCCCTTTACAGCAGTAACTTTACAAAGGGCCATTTTCACTTACACTGGACAATGGCAGTTTTACCAGCATAGGATTTATTCTTAAAATATTTAGACCCTCTGTAAGAACCACATTCTGCACATGATCTTTGTCCTGGCTTCCTCTTCTCGGTGTAACATCCACTCCTATCAGGGCTATTATACAGTCTAACTTTCTGAACCAGGCTACAACTTGTAACTGAAAACCCAATGCAGCCTTTGCCGGGTAACTTCTGAGCTAGAACAGCCTCTTCTCGCTGTAGTATGAAAGTAAGGGATGTGCCCGTGGAAGGATTTACAATAGTGTGTGTGCAGTGCTATCATGATCTCTTAAATATGAACACTAGTCAACTGCAGCTCAAAATGCTTTGCAGCTGTAACCTAGCACATGTGCTGCCTCCCACCCTGGCTCACCTCTTCAGTTTACAAGGGGAAACTGAGTCAGACAGCTCAAGTGACTTATCCAAGCTGGCTGCTGAGGTTGCGTCAGCTGGGATTAGGACAGAGCAGTCCCTATTTCTATCTCAGTTCCCCTTTTCAGGAGAGAAATTCCTGTGTTCGGTCAGATTTTCAAGGGGATGCTGAGCAATCCTAAAAACCTGACTACTTCTTGAGGTACCTAAAGGGGAGCTAAACTCTTTTGAAAACCTTGTAAATCTGAAAATTCTCTGGTCCTAATACCAACTAAGGTCAGGTCTACACTTCACTTTAGATACTATAGTAATGGGGGGAGGGGTGATTTTGTTTTTAAACTAGCACAGAACTAGCCCTAGTGCAGAAAAATTGGTCGTGACCCATAGTGAGAACCACTGGACTATGCCAAAGCTGCTTGTTTTGCTGTGGGTCCTTTCCCACATTGAATAGAACAATGTTTCCCAATTCATACTGAGCTTTGACAAAATATGTGGCCCCCAAATTGGCTGCTGCTACCTGTTTTATCCTCAAAACAGAACTTCTGCTTAATCAGTTTTTTTCTGTCAGTGGTGTTTCACTATCACCCATGAGTGTGAAATTATCAGTGTCCAGCTTGACTACTCCCGTGTTTTCAAGAATGGCATCTGTATGCTCCATCCCTTCCCCTGAAAAATCTCAGAGGGGAAGAGAAATGGGAATATGGTACGAAGAATAGGGGAGACAATTGCAATAACGCAGGGAGTATGCAGGAAGTTAGTTGCTCTGTAGCAAACTGCTGCTTAGCTTGCACGGTGAAGTGTGTATACAGCCAGAGAGTAATAGATTTAATTGCACAGGGCTTTGATGTTTTTTTTTACCTGAAGTGCCCCATTGATGAGTCCCCTGTGGCCGGTTTCTTATAGTGTAAGAAGGTGAGGTCTGCAACACCTGGAAATATGCTGGTGTTGTGTCATATTTATTTGGTGCTGGATCAATTTGAGCATCTGGAAAAAGAAATGGGAAAGTATGATACCAAACTCAGGACTAAAATAAAACCTGGAGACTCTTTGAAGAGACAGTGGTGTTGGGGTCTGCCCTATCATCTTGCTAACAGCATAGAATCAGGACCTAGGACCGTAGCTCCCATAATATACAGGTGTGACTTTTCAACAACCAACTACACTGTGCAACCCTGTGTTCACATGTGGCTCTACAGCAACAAAGTGCTGTGTTTGAGCAAACAGATTTTTGGTTCAATGTGTATTTTACCTGCCTTGTCAAGTCACACCCCTAGCTGAGTGGGTGAAATTTTACAAGGCTGAGCAATGGTGAAGGAAAAAATAAAAAAAATACTTTGACCATGTCCTTTTAAGAGGTAAAATGCTAGCTCTTCTCTGTGTACATGGGGGACAGCTAGAGAGTTACAGAAGGATATAAACTATTAGAGAACAGTGCTGGGGAAGCAGGCTTCATAGAATATCAGGGTTGGAAGGGACCTCAGCGGGTCATCTAGTCCAACCCCCTGCTCAAAGCAGGACCAATCCCCAACTAAATCATCCCAGCCAGGGCTTTGTCAAGCCTGACCTTAAAAACCTCAAAGGTAGGAGATTCCACCTTAAATGAGGCCTTGAACAACAGGGTACTGCTAATGCTGAGAGCTGCACTGAGATCAGCTAGACAGAAGAGAGGGACCCACCCATAGCAATAAAGTGTAGGCCCTTAGCTGCCCCAAGAAGGGCACATGCAGGTCTGACAGCAGCCCAGAGAGCTGTGCTGGGGAAGATGGTCAGAGAGCTAAGAGGAGACTACCTTACTGGGCACAGGAACTTGGGAGGAGTCAGTGTTAATAGCAGAGCCATAACTGGGCATTTTAGCATCCAGGGTGAGAGCATATTTACACCCCATACTGCTTTTTTGTCATTTTTCTGCCCCCATGGCTTTGTGGGCGGCTGCTCTGCTCACCCCACCTGGTTATGGCCCTGATCAGAACACTCACCTTTGCTGACAAGGCTGAATTTCCCCTTTCTCCCAATGCTGTAGCTCGGGTACCCTGGTCTGCTGGCCTGCCGGGGGCCCAGGGTCGAGGCCTGCGTGTAGTGGAATGGAGACGGCCACTACCAGAACAGAGTTAGTCTTATCAAAGCACAGTGCTAAGTAAAGCAACAGACATTACTGTGAAGGGCAGATCCCTCTGCAGGAGCATTAGGGAGACTTGTGCACTGTGGGTCTACGGGGAAAGAGGGTCTGGAACACTCAGGGACCCCTCAGTTACCGGAAAGGCTGAGGTCATGGGTGGCTAAAGTGATGGCCAGCGTGATCATTAGTGAAGAGGAGCAGTCTGGATCCAGGCTGCTCCAGTTCTGCTAGGTCATATAGAGCTCTTTAAATGCTATGCCTACACTGTCTCTCTTTGCCATCTGCTCCCCCTACTGCCTGAAGTGTCCTCCCCATGTGACTGTGCCATCCTGCTGGCCACATGCTCAACTCAAGTCTGAGCCTTGTCCATCCCAGCCCTGTGCCTTGGGCAGTCATTTACACAAGTGTAAAACGCATGCAGAGTGGATGTAAAATGCTACCAGCTCCCAAGGGCAAGCATTTTGCATTGGCTCTGCACTGCTCTGAATGGCTGCACAAGGTCCAGGGCCATGCAATAATCTTTTTCCTCCACAATGGAGGCTCTTTGCACACAGGGGTGAGAAACACAGTCTCTGCCATGGCGGCTCATTCGGTCTCAGATGTGTGGGCTGGTGGAGGACAGAGCCTGGGAGAATACCACCTCCTGTTTTTTTCCAGTCTGAGCTCT